CCCCAAAACCCCAAAACCCCAAAACCCCAAAACCCCAAAACCCCTATTTTGGAGATTAATATTGAAATATTATCATTCCTCTTCATCTGGGAAGGTACTGACTATCTGAGGGTACCCTGTTTGGCAAATATCCTTGTAGTTTATATCGATAGGGGGGATGTTTCAAGGTGTAGTGCTTGAATATTTTGCTCGTTTAGGAATATTTACAAAATTTAGCCGCTTGGTGGCTCCTTTACCTAAAATTTTATTTTTATTATTTACCAAGCAATTTTCTTTCTTCGATAAGCTTATTTTTCTTCAGGAATTCTTTGATTTTTATATATCCTCCTCCAGTTCTAACATAGATAGTTTTAGACTTCAAAAGCAATCAGACTTGCTTTGTACCATACTTGAACATGTTTTGTTTAAGGTGTATAAACTTAACAGTGCTTGTTAATTCATTAGCTTGCTCCAGGATATCTTCGAAATTCGCTTGTAAGGTAGCTTGGCTCCAAATCGATGACCTCCTAGAGCTACAAGATTGGGATTTTATAGAAGAACTATTGGTAAAGAGAAAAACTTACATTTTTGAGCCTGTCTTCATCCCTTTATTATTCCTAGTTTTGAATGGGTTCACTGATTCATCAAAGTACTCCCTTGGCTCCAAGCTAAATCTGAACATCTCTCTATCCGCAAGATCTTTAGAACTACTACTGTTTCACTTATGCTCTAAGAGATCCAGAACCGGAGGAGCACTTTCCATAAACTTGTTAGCAACTGGAGTATTTTTATTAAACTTATTTGAGTGAAAAGATCTGCTACCAAAAGTTTTACTCTCTTTCTTGCGAATCTTTTCATCCGATCTCAGTTGATCCAGAATTGGTGGCTTTTTCCAAATTCTTGGGGTTATACCATGAATCTGTTTGGTGATCCTCCTGTGAGGCAGCTTTGCTCGCATATTTATAACCTTACCACTCCCCTTTAATATTTTCTGGTACTTTTGAGTCCATTGTTCTGCCTTAATATGACTATCATTTTTGCGTTTTTCTTTGGATACATTCATGACCTTGACAGGAGATCTTTTATTCTTCTTTTCACGATGAGATTGATCTACTTGGTTTCCATGGATCTTTGGGATTGATTTGGAGAGCACTGCAGACGAAGACTTCTTTAAAAGAGCTTCTAGCTCTTTGATCCTCTGATCTTTTGATTGAAGTTGACTGTTGAGGTCACAAATCTCATCCTCAATTTGTTGCACCTTAGCATTAGTCCCTTTCTTTCTGATAGTGAGATTCTCGATTTGGATAGAGATTTCATGAATTTCTTTGGAGATCTCTGAAGCCTTACTGATTTCAAGAAGGTGTTCCCTCAGTTCAACCTCTGCCTGAACTTGTAATGACTTATCAGAAACTCCCTGGGTGCTTGGCAATAAGTTTAAAATTTCAGGATCCTTACATTCACCAGAGTTGATTTGGCTGAGAATTTGGCTCAAAGAGTTTGTGATATCTTCATCCTGCCTAAACCCCTGAAACTCCTTATTCTGTGCAGGATCTAGTGGAGGATTTTCAGAGACCAATGCAGAGTACTTCTCTCGAAGTTTCTCCTTAGTTTTGATATATCCCTTCAGAGCATCAGACATTTTCTGATGTTTGGCATAAATTTTATTTTAAAATATCATTTCCTTGGTCAGTTTTCTCGAATTGTTGCTGTAAAGAGTCTATTTGGGCTTTCTGGTTAGTCAGCTCTTCCTTCATGGCTTCAATTTTTGGCTCATATACAGACTCTAGTTCCATGATCTGGTGCCTGAGAGCTTGGGCTCTCTTGCCCAAGACCTTGATCTTGCCTTGGCTGTGTTTGAACTTTACCTGAAGCAAATTGGATTCTCTGTCTGAATGCCTGGAGTCACTTTTGTGATTGACCATTAGCTGGCTATGGATTAGCGGGAGATTACTCTTGAACTTCTTTTTGTAGCTGGAGAGTTTCAAGTTTGGCCTGGAGGTTCTGTTTGAGGTCTAAAGTAGCAAGAGTTTGGTTCTCTAGAGGATTTAGGAATTGGGTACTTTGATCAGAGATGATTTGTTTAATGTCGTTCCTGATAATTGTCAAATTTAGGTTCTTCATTTTGAGCTTCTGACGAAGTTCTTGATTTTTGGATTTTAGGTTTTGAAGTTCAGGATTATAAGTAGTTTTGATGTGGTTGAGATTTAAAGGATTGAGGCTAGAGTGATTTAGATTACGAAATTACGATTTAGAATAGGCTTTTTGTGATTTCTCGTATTCTGCATTTTTCATATTATAAGTTGCTTCTAAGTCTTGGAAATTTTTGGAGAGAGAAGAAATCTGCTCTGTAAGTTCAGAGGTTTTGGAATTTTGAGATGATTTTAATTTTGAAATAGACTTAATAAACCTTTCTGTCGGAAAATACGCATCATTCTCATCCAAATACTTATCAAGAGCTTCTAATCTCCCATCCAATTTTTCTTGCACAACTCATCTAAACCTCTCATACTCATCATCAACCTTCTCTCCTTCAGACCCATCACTTCCCTCCTTCCCCTCCTTCCCCTCCCCTATCCCCCTCTCTCATTTCCCACCTCCACACCTCCTCACTTCCTTCCTCCCTACCCCTTCCAATCCTTCTTCCTCCTTCCCTTCCTGCTTCACCTAAACCCCCAATTATTTCGCTCTTATATCTATTCTCAAAAAGAAGGCTAGAGCTATTCTTTATGTATTGATGGAATTGAAGGTTAGTTTCGTACCATTAGTCATCTGTTCCAGTCGGAATTGTGCATGTTATCTAAATAGAAATTATTAGGCAATGAGAAGGTGGAGATGAGAAATAGGCTTTAAGGTGGCTGAATATGGATCAGAAGTTGGTAACATTATATAAAGTGGAGTGAGTAAAAGGTGGATTGAGAGTTGGAGAGAGGCTGATGATAGAAGTTTGAATGATTGATGGTTCTTTGGATTTTAGAATATTTTAGAGAAGTTATGTAAAGATGTAATTAGAGAAAATAGAAAATGAAAATAATTATTCAGACTAACTTTACATTTTAGGAGGAAATACATTCCAAAAATACTCAAATCAAACATCACAATTGACATGAAACAACCACTATCCAACCATATTCATGGCTAGGGTCTTTTTTATATTGGTGGATTATAGATTGGTGATTAGATATTATAATTTTTTCTAATGTGATGTTTGTCTAAATCGGACAATTCTTTTTGATATAAAGAGGGCTAAATTTCTATTGGCTTGTCTTAATGTCTTAAAATTGTTAATTTTTTTTTGCTTAAATTATGAGATAGTTCCTCTAGTGCTCATCTGAAAGCTCCATCTAAGCTATTCAGCTCATAAAACCTTTAATGAAAAGCACTTATTTGTTATTAAGATTAAAACTATGACTTTTACGCTTCTTTCTCTCTCATTAGTAAAACAAAATGAAGTATTTTAATCAACTAAGGATCATATGAAAAATTAAGCTATTCAGAAGTCCTATTATCTACATTTAACAATATTTTCATGTGAAAATCAGCATGTACAGTACCTTCAAGGATCTCGCTCATTTTAGCAGTCTATTTATTAATATTTATCCTAAAAAATGGGGTTTTGGGGTTTTGGGGTTTTGGGGTTTTGGGG